GACTACCTCATCCGGTTGGACGGATCATGATGGGCACCAACGTTTCGGACAACACGTGGTACATCATTGAATCCATAAAACCAATAGGTAAACTGATATCATCAAAGCCTTTCATACACACCACAAACACTATTATCTCTACATCTGATCCTACACACACCACCATACAAATCTACATGTTTAGACAACCATGCACATATTCAAGCGGTCATGCATAAGCGAGAATACAAACACAGATACACACATCTATTTACACAAGTACAGCTGATATACGTTGTCAGCATATTTATACATGTCAACATTTTGGTCTACGCATTTGTGTGCCTAAAAGTCACGTCGGAAGGATAAAAAGTTAATACAACCAATTTTAAATATCTAAGATATTGTTTCCTAAAATGTGAAATAGCTAGGGGAAAAAACAAAACTGTGGCTGTGAGAGGGTTCGACATAATTCGCGTAGCTATTACGACATATTGACGTCCAAAATTTTATAAACAAAACACAAGTTCAAACTAATTCAAACCCAAACGTATCTCTCTTGTGTCTATGCAGAACTTTGCTTCTTGGGTAGAAGCAATTACACATGCAATTACGATGTATAACTTATACAGATCTCACAGAGATCAGAGATTGAGATGGGCGCGGAGGCTACGTCGTTGGCAGTGACATGACTGGCAGAGGGATGTGTTCACTGATGAACGCCGGTTCTGTCTGTTCATGGAAGAAGCCAGAAAACAGAACATGATTGCAGCGAACACCGTCAACTTGTTGCCGTGGCCTGCAGCCTCCCTAGTCATTTCCCTATAGAACACCTCTGGGATGTCATGAATCGTCAAAGCGACCACGTCCTTCTGCCAACCGACAAGAACTGATCAGACAACTGACTTTTTCTATAGGCGGAGAGTTTTTGCGTGTGAAAGGCCGTAATGACACGTCTCATTGAACTTGAATGATTGTATATGCGTCCACCCAAACCTTTTGGGGGGCCAATATCGGTGAAATGCTGATTTCGATGAGGTTTTTTTTATCTTTTCAATGCATATCACTTGATGCATCTGTCTTGTGGTTTTTAACTAGATTGATTTATGGGAAAGTTTCTTTTGGCCGTCAGTTTTCATTTCTACGGGTTTCAATTATATTGTAAGCGGAACAAAAGGCATGTTTTTTCATTTTACCTATTTTTGCTCAGATGCTTTTTAAATGTTTCTCTTTTTTCTTTGGTTTTTGTTTGTATTTGGGGTTTTACATTTCAAAATTCTAAGTTGGCACAGGGTTTTACTGAGTCGGTCACCGGATAACAAAATCAAAGTAACCATTCAACACAAACACATATGAGGACAAACAACTGAAACAAGTGTTGCCTTATTCTACTCACAGCGGAGTATCCATCACAATGAAAACCCGAGACCTGACTCCTGCTCCGACTCCCTCTTTCCCACCAACATAGTACGACACTTAAACCACTCGCTCACGTGTGTGATAAAGGAACAATATGAGGATATCGTTTGATATCGACGAGAAAGAAGACCTTTTAAAGTCCCCAGAGCAGAACTAAGTTCTTCGCAGATTGCCCTGATAACACAGAGGTAGACAGATTGATTGTAAGCAAAGGTGTCAAAGATTACCGCAGACACGGCTATTACACACCATCATACGATGATATAGGTCATAATACATCCCTTCAGAATTATTAAGTAAGACCTTTATATCTTTATCATCAGCTAATTTGAATTTAGTATCGAGGCAACAAATGCCCATTGATGGTATAGAAGATTGGGTACGGACGGAGAGGAGTGGCGAGGCATTTGGCGATGTTTGCAAAAGCGGCCAGCTGTGTTTTAATCCCTGTCACAGCGCGAACATAGAACAGGCAGGAAAGGTGCGTCATTGTTTACAGATGGTTGTAAGGTTCAAGATATACAGCTGTTTATACGAAACGTGAAACTTCTAGTGGCCGATATGAAATAGGAGATTTCAAATGTGGTCACTAAAACCGGTAACCGTTTCCTCCGTCCAAATGGCAAGAGAAACATAATAATATTCTGAATACTGGGATCCGTTGTAATTTTTCCCACTTAAAATTTAAAAAATGATATTATATATGACGGACACGAATGTGCGACTACAAAGGTTCCGTCGATGTCGAATATCGTCAGTTTATTGCGTGAATACCTACACTCATTAACAACAGGAATAGTTATATTAAAATTATGTTTCTAAGAGATACATCTGAGACAACTTGGAGGATTTGGTTAGGCGACGTCATTATGACGTGACGCGAGAGCATAGTAAACGACGTCATTATAACGTGACGCGAGAGCGTAGTAAACGACGTTATCCAGTGTTGATGACAAGAAATTTCAGGTGACTTTTGACTGATGGCGAATTTCTGTTTCCGTGTAAATAATCATAATTACATGATCATGATGAACTTATAATTATACTGTCCTTGTGTGGTCTTCTTGTTGTGCGTGTAACACATGTTGAAATTGACATCCATTACTTTAACTGATCATAAGGATAAGGAATAACATATAGGTGAAAAACAACAACAAATACAACAAAATCAATCTGTTCCCCAAATGACACTTGCAAGCAGATATACTCAAAAACATGACGCATTTTATGGATAACAACTTTTATTATTTGTCATGACGATTCAGAACTACTCCTTGCTCCGTCATTGGGTGAATTATGATAAAGAAGCAAGAATTAGCTCTGAAACATCGTGATAAGGAATATAAAGAAGTTGTTATCCATAAAACTTTTCTTGTATTCATGTTCTTCCAACTTTCTAAATGCCCACTAAAGACTTCATAAAATATTCGTGGGCGTACTGGGACAGCCTTCATTATATAATTATCATGTACGTTGACATCACAAACTTCCCTGTGACAAATACTGCAAGCTGACCTCAACTGATCCCAGTATAAGGTGTGGTTGCGACTCGGGTGAATGTATGTTTACTGCTTGCAGGTGAAAGGACAATGGGTACGAGGTCATAATGCATTGTCCTCTGTCCTCTGTCCTCTGTTTCCGGGTTATATGCAGGGACATGTTCCAGATAGATGGGTGCAGCCAAGAGATGTTTATCACAGATATGACCTGATGTCATACCGACATAGTACAGAAGTAGTTTATCACAGATTATACCCCTTGTAGTACAGTAGGGCACTGTGAACTTTCGAAGATTATACCTTGTGTTTCATACCTTCAATGAGAAGATCGGGAGACACTTTGTTAATGTTATTAATACCATTATGAATTTATAACATGTATAAATACATCCAAACACAGAGTAGAACCAATGTCAATGATTATTATAACACATGTATATGAACATGAGAAACACTGATATAGACAAATAAAACAAGACAATTAATTATATATAGATATATGTGAAGTATCGTAAACACAATAAACTCTGTTTATTGTTTAAGATGATGTAGTTCTTATCTGCGTTGTGGTATTTTTCCCACACTTGCCACTGACAATCAATAACCCGTGTGTTGTCCTCTAGGAAAGAACAGGTGGTATCGTCCCTGGTGTCCCCGTAAGGAGAACATCGGGGAGATACTGATGGCATTGACTCTTGATGTCGTCACTGGAGTTCCCGAACATTTGGTAGAACCGCTGATATACTGCTGGGACAGTCACTTGATGTCATCATTGGTCTATGTAGGAGAGAACATCAGATAGAATCTCAGATGTAATCGATAAGAAAGAACACCTGGTGTCGTCAATATCAAACCTAAAGAAAAATGTTGCACTACATGATAGGAAGGATCACCGAGTGTCGCTACACCGATGCTTGTTGTGAATAAATTCCCTGTGGGGTCACACGATATGCGGAGGGAAAGGACATTTGTGTACTGTTCTATCGATAAAGAATGATGTCGGGTATTTTATGGATATACAACTTCTTTATTCTTTATTCTGTATATATGTTCTAATATACACGTAGCTAGAGCAAGGTCTTCTATTTCCTCATTCCCTTACTGTTTACCATCACTATTTATGTATTGGAAATCATTGTAATACAGAATACTAGTACCTGGGGGACATAGATATTAGTTTAGTCTAACTTTTTACAATTAACAGGAATTTTATAAATTGAAACCAATATAGATTTATGAGGCGCGAAGGTAAATATTCTAAAAATCTCCAATGACCGGATCGACTGGTCGGCTATTCTATGTCGTGTAGAACAACAAACAAACAACAAATGTTGTCATTAGTACTTGTCAGGGCAGGTTGTAAGATTAATAGCTCGTCGTTTCTCTCAAATGTATTTCTGAAAACATTAAACATAATTTACTGCCAATAATAATCCGACCACTGACAAACTTGTTCAGATGTAGAAATATACTAATTGGTACACCCAGTGGTACACCCAGTGGTACACCCAGTGGTACAGGTATGAAACAATACGCCAGGTACTGTGAACTACAGATGGGGCGACATGGGTAAGCGGTTTCCTCGATGTCAATCAACGTCGCGTTAAGGCTATGAATGGGAAGTAATAAACGCTGTGATCATGTTGCTACATTTTCTCACGCTCTCGCAATGTTGTTTATTTACTGTTATGGTGATTGACGAAATACTTCATTATAGCGCTCTAATGGATTTTAATAATTCAGCATGTTGTGGTTTTAAATGTGGGCGTGTTTACAAGTCGTATTGATTAAATACTCTCTCAGGATTTGTGTAAGGTGTGAGACATGTTTTATTTATTAAGTTCTCCAATGATTCGACACACTTTTTTTCTTTAAACATTTATCTTTCTGTGACGGCTTTGAATAGTTCAGCAGTAACAAAAGATGAAAGAGAATGTAGCATTATTTCAAATTCTTATTCTCTGTCAAACCACTATGACGTCTCCCTTACATTTTCATTAATACTGAATTGTGTTACAAATGACTGACAGAAGCGCTAAGATGTATAAGTCGTCTGCTTGTTGCCGGGAAATTATACCAACAAATGAGTGCACTTATTGCGCATGCGCACACGCCGCCTGAAGCGGATTAACATCAGTGAGTGATAGAAGGCACAGCAGACGACAAATGAGAGAGCGCGACAGTTTTGACCAGTGGCAGACGACACAGTGTGAGAGGGAAGGCTGAGCGGAGCAGACGACTGGTGTTCAGTGGGTTAGAGGATCGTGTCAAGTGTTAGCCGTGTGTTTAGCGTAAACACAGACGATTAGAAAAGACTTAGTCGAACACTCGGAGTATTGGGCGCTCTGGTAGCTGTGATAGGAGACACGGGACATAAACCAACCAGAGGGATTACCACAAACTCTTATGAGTTGACTGTTGAGGAAATGCATGTTCTACTCAAAATGTTCCCTCGCAACCGACTGTCAAACTCCAGAAGTGTCAAACCTATTTGTACATAGCGGATCAAACAGGGTATACAGCATCCCGGGTTATTTGTGAGTCGTCTTATTTATAGCAGAGATTAACACCGAGGAGAGATATTTGCCATAGGTAAAGTTTTTTCAAGTTACTTTGCATCTTAGAGAGTGTCCGGAAGAAGAGATTTGTTTGCTTCCAGTGTGAAGAGAACAGGAATCTCCGCTATCACCAGTTTGTGCTGAACGCAATGCAGAGGGTTGGGATATAGATTGAAGCGGCCGCATAACACACGTGTTGCGTTCAGGATGACAACTGATGCCCTCTTATAAGCTGGTAGACCGACTAGTGGCATAAATCCCGTATCATCAAGGGTGAATATCGGAGGATCTGTAACTTATCAACTACGTTCATCTGTTACTGAATCAACTTTCCTAACGTCAAGGCATCTATAGAGTCGGGACTGTTAACTGACCTCAGCATGGAAACTTCACATATTATACAGGTCGGAACAGAGTATGTTGCTGCAACTGAGAGAATCAATACAGCGTTGGCAACACTGAGGAAAGAACTGGTAAGTACTGTTATACTTACTGCTCTCCGTCTTCTTAATGTCTATGTATACTTACTGTTATTGATTCATATTCCGACATTCTCGCTGGTTCATTATTCCGACATTGGCGTATGTATGTTAGTTATGTAGTAACACACATCCCATTACATTGGAGCTTTGTGATAATGCACCACTCATGATAGAGATGATTAACGTCAACATACACGTGAATGGGCATACCATTGATCTCACCCACGCTGTCTTCACATTAGTACATGTGTGTGTGTTTGTGTGATAAACCATAATGGGCCAATGTCGAGAGTTGAAAATCCTTGATAAAATGTGTTAGTAAATGTTACAGTTAAGACGTATTAATTGTTATTCAGTCAGGAAGTATGCATGATGCCCAGAGGTTAAGGTTATATTATATAGGAGTGAGTGAGTTAGTTTAGTTTTACGTCGCACTCAGCAGTATTCAAACTATATGTCGACGGTCTGTAAATAATCGAGTCTGGACCAGACAATCCAGTCTGGGCCTCGATCTACACAAGTTGGGAAACGATGACATGTGTGAACGAAGTCAGCGAGTCTGGCCACCCGATATCGTTAGTCAATTAGATTACATAGGCTTAATATTGTCTACGTTTCCAGCATTAAGAATACGGGGCACAAATAAGAAAATTAATGAAATAAAAGAAAAGTATCAGTTCGCAAATATTATCTTTGTAATGATCCAACTGAATATCAGTTTTTAGGGTGAATTTCTGGTGTCCACGCAAAATTGCGGGAATGTTTCTAAAAGCGGCGTAAAAGCGTACTCACTCCCAAATGACTACACTATATATATATTTGTCAAATGAAAGAGAAACATTCATAAGAAGGTAATGTAATGTCAAGTTACATACACTACACATATCTAGATGGGATCCATGTTGCTGATGCTATATATATGATGGGGAGGGGGTAGAGGAGGTCATAACCAGAGGTGAGTGACTGAGTGTGGTTTTACGCCGCTTTTAGCAATATTCCAACATCATCACCGCGGGGGACAGAAGAAATGGGCTTCACACATTGCACCCATGTGGGGAATCGAACCGGGTCTTCAGCGTGACGAACGGACGCTTGAACCATTAGGCTACCCCACTGACCCCATAGCCAGAAGTAATCGCATTAATTCTGTGAAGAAATGAGCCAGATTCTAACAACTGTGTTCATGTTCTATTGATCGCATCTACAGCCGTACAAGACTTTATCCTAGGGACATGAGTGTGCATTTTAGGGGGCAGTTTAGTGATTACTTGGTCGATTACATACAATATACTCCAGATTTATAGGTAGAGTGTAAGGCGACACAGATGTGTACCGGTTAATGAATGGAGGCACGTGCAGCACCGCCACATGTTGAGGAGGTTGGTCACACGTGGTTCACCAAATCTATACATAAGATCAAACTAAGGTGTTGGTTGGTTGGTTGTTTAACGCCGCACTCAGCAATATTCCAGCTATATTGCGGCGGTCTGTAAATAATCGAGTCTGGACCAAACAATCCAGAGATCAACAACATGAGCATCGATCTACGCAATAGGGAGACGAAGAAATGTGTCAACTAAGTCATCAAGCCTGACCACCCGATCCCGTTAGTCGCCTCTTACGACAAGCATGGGTTGCTGAAGATCAATTCTAACCCGGATCTTCACGAGTAAGATCAAGGTGTACTCTGGCGTTAGCTGTAACTGTTGTTCTTGCATATATTGGCTGAATATATCGATCAGCATCATTCTCACCATCAGATATATTAATGTATGAGTACTTTCTAAAATATGGATGTAAGCACAAAGATAAAGTTAAAGGAGAACACTTTTCATAGGGGTAAAGGCATTCTTAAAGTCACCTTTCTTAATTAAAATTGAACAAAAAGTTTGTTAAATCGCAATAAACACATAAAAAACCGTACTTGTATTTCTGCGTATTTACGGAAACACCCGAGAACTATGAACAGTTTCAATTCCTGTATTCAGATGAGGTTGATGAAATGTGATTACTGAAAAACTACATTATTGACATGTGCAAAACATTATTACACGTTTTTATCTGTACGTTTTAGATATGTCAAATCCGTGAATGTGCAAGTCTCACTTCATAGTGACAGGTTCACGCATTCTTTTGCATATTGAATATGGATATGTTTCAGTAAATTGCATCCTCAGTACCCCTGTTCATTGTTGACAGGCCCAAGTTCTTCAGACGACTAAGACTGACAAAAATAGGACCAAACATATTTATTTAAGTTGTGGACAGTTTTTTAAGTCAGTAATCATTACCAGTGTTGTTTTAACACTTCTGTTCTAGTCATGTATAGCGTTATGCAACAAACATTCGCCTTCGTTTGTAAACAAAAGTACACGTAAACATTCAACATATTTCCACAATGGGTAATTTATAACCATTTGTGTACCACATTCCAAGGCATTATAAATCACAGGAAATTGACACAGGGTCCTTGTGAAGTATATTCAATACGGCCTGGGCGTCATCCCGGGGTATATTTATGTCACGATAACATCACTTCAAGGACTGGGTTCACGATACATTAAACTGGTCGGTTGTTTACAGTAACAGTGACACCTATGTGGCATTATGTTGTTGTGTTCACCCTAACGTTGCCTTGCTCCAAGGCTGTACTGAATGCTGAGCCCATGGATGTATAGTAATTGTATCCTTCGAAGAGGCAAGTCTAGATGGGTGGACAGTACTAAGGACCCCAGTTATTATATTTATTTAGGGACCGTTCATAATCTATGACTCGGGGGTGATGATGATTGTTATGGAGAAGCATGCACAATGTTCACAAATGAACACCCCCACCCCCACCCACCCCCCCACACTAAAATTTACATACAAAGTGACACACACAAACACACACACACACACCCGCATGCCATGTACGAAATCAGTTACCCCGCCCTAATTTCTAAGCGTAATTTATTAATGTAAACATGTGCAAAATTGCTGACACCCCCGTTATGTGTTCAAAATTGATGATCCCCAACCTCCCTAGAACAATACGGGTGCCCCCGCCCCTTAAATTCATCATTACCCCCAGCCATAAATCATAAATTATGAACAGCCCCTTATTGTTTTTTTTAGAAATTATCATATGGACTATCAATTTTGACCTTAGAGACTTGTGCAAGTCTAACCCTAGCGTAGCTGTGTGATAACCCTGTACTGTTACTACAACTCGATACGTATATATGCTTGTAAACATTTGATATCAGCTTTTTGCTTGTTCATCAGATGAAATGCTAAAAATATCACATAACAATAATATGCCTTTCTATCTACATAATCATCGTATTTGTACTGCAGAGATCAAATAGTGGATATCAACATACATTGACATACTAGTGGCGGATCGGGGGGGGGGGGTGTTCGACCCCCCACCCCCTTTTGAAAATGACTTAAGATCACATTGAAGATCTTTTTGAGTTGGCGGAGCCTATGGGGGGTTCAGGGCCCTGAACCCCCTCCTTTCAAAATTCCTGGATCCGCCCATGACATACTGTTAGTATAACGGAATAAAACCAGTAAACTGTTGTAAAAACATGTTTCGGGTAAAGCCCAATATCCATCATACAGTGGATATATAATCAGTACATGATGGGGATATAATGCCGTGGCTGATCTGGGATTTGACTAACAGCTAGTCTCTGCAATGAACATATTTTACAGAAGAAAGGTTTTAAATTAAAATACAATAAAAAGGCGCCCAGAGACTTTCTCCATTTTTGAAACTGTGACAATCTAGACTTGCCACACATTCTAGACATGCATGGGCTACTTTGGGTATATTTGTTTCAAGATCTGTATGACAGACTAATCTGGGATGGACAAGCCTGAATATTAAGACTGTGGTGACATCGTGTTTGTTGTCCATATTGCTTATACAGTCACAATCAACACCAAAACACGCCACGCCTCAGTGGTGATTGGCTGTTACCAGTGCTGTAACAGTTAAAGATATACATGTTTTGTTTCCACGATAAGGAATACGATACATGCAGATATAATCTTAAGCCTTTTCGTATGTAATAACATCCGTTTATAGCTGTATTTTCAATAGGCGGCAGATCTGACATATACGTTGGCTTGTTGACAGGATATGAGGTTCCTGTCGAGAACATTTGATACCAGCTTCATATCGTATGTGATATGGTTTGTGTGATGTTACTTCCGCGTTTATGCTTATGGGTTAAATTATGTTACTTCTGGGGATATGTACGTGGGGTATATCATGTTACTTCTGGGGATATGTACGTGAGTTATATAATGTTACGTCTGGGGATGTGTGCGTGAGTTATATAATGTTACTTCTGGGGATGTGTGCGTGACTTATATGATGTTACTTCTGGGGATGTGTACGTGAGTTATATGATGTTACTTCTGAGGATATGTACGTGAGTTATATAATGTTACTTCTGGGGATGTGTACGTGAGTTATATAATGTTACTTCTGAGGATATCTACGTGGGTTATATAATGTTACTTCTGGGGATGTGTACGTGAGTTATATAATGTTACTTCTGGATATGGATGGTGTTACTTCTGGGGATGTGTACGTGAGTTATATAATGTTACTTCTGTGGATATGTACGTGGGTTATATGGTGTTACTTCTGGGATGTGTACGTGAGTTATATGATGTTACTTCTGTGGATGTGTACGTGAGTTATATAATGTTACTATGGTGATACTTACTGGGTTATATGGTGTTACTTCTGGGGATGTGTACGTGAGTTATATGATGTTACTTCTGGGGATATGTACGTCTGTTATATGGTGTTACTTCTGGGGATGTGTACGTGAGTTATATGATGTTACTTCTGGGGATGTGTACGTGAGTTATATAATGTTACTTCTGGGGATATCTACGTGGGTTATATGGTGTTACTTCTGGGGATGTGTACGTGAGTTATATGATGTTACGTCTAGGGATGTGTACGTGAGTTATATGATGTTACT